TTCCGAATGAGAGCTGTTGGGACGATTATTACTTAGGTTTATCCTCGAGGGGTTTCCTCGAGTCTCCTAAGCCGGTTTCCCGTACTCATTAGTTCGATTTGCCTAGACCAATTTGTAACTAATTTTTAGGCAATTAAGTAATTAAAGTTGGTTGATTAGGTATATACCAAATTATTTGTTGTAGAAAAGTAAATTTGAAAATACTTTATTTTCATGTAGTATGCATAAAATTTTCCCATTATTTTTTCTTCACGTCTTACATAACCAATACGTATTTGTATAAATGTTTACTGCAACCAGTTACGTAATTGTACAGTCTAACACAATTAGTTCAACTAATTGGGCCTTTTAATGGAAAAACACAGTCCATTACCCAAAGTTTTTAGTTCATAAGGTACAGAAAACTGTAGGGTGCACCACATGCTAAAAAGACACCACCCCAAACTCCTGCTTATTAAATAGAGAGGGATAAAAAGTTGAAAGTAAATAGAAGTTGAATTTTATAAAGAAAAATATTAAAAGGTAAAATAGCCTAATTCAGTCATTTTTCTCTCACAGTTGCAAAGTCACCAGTTGTAGGTACAGTACGGTGATAATTTTACTATAGTCACTGCTTTTTACTAAATTTACAAAGAAATATATAAGAACCCTTGTTAAAACAGTGAAAAAAAAATTATATAGAGGATGAAAGATTATACATGAAATAATACAACACACATGCGACATTGAGAGGAAATCATTAACTACAAACATGGATACATAGTTAAGAGACAGAGGGAGACGCAACGAGATCCATCAAAGTCGAACAAAAGCCAATTATTTTGTATTAAAACATAAAGAAAAGAAAAACCAAAGTGGAGTCAGGAAGTGTCTGCTTTTGCTAAACCACCTAAGGGAAACTTAATGACAGAAGGTAGTTAGTTGTTGGGTGTTGGCTGGTTGTGAGGCTCTGATGGCTGCTTGGGGGCAGAGGGCCCACCATTCATCCTCGCACGAGCCTCTGCAAACATCTTTTGCTGCTCTGCAAGTGCTTCCTCTTCCGTCATCTCTGCTACATTGCTCCATTTTCCACCTCTCATTGTGTCCTGTACAAATTTTTTTTTTAAAAAAAAAAAAAAGAAAAAAGTTCGGCCACAAACATTTACCAAGGACCATTATGCCCTAATCAAAGCTCGTGAAAACATGTAAAGAACAAAAAAATTGACTAGTTTACCATGGTCTCCAGCCTGTGCTGCTCATATGCAGCATATACTTCTTCAATATACTCCGCAAATCGATCACGACCGGAAAAAAAATAAGTTTCATTGCATGGGTAAACACGACAGGAAGTCGGGCAAGAAAAGAGAATACTTTGTCTGTACATAGTTGTAATTGACTTCAGGTTAGATGAAAAAAAATTTGCCAATACCATCCAAAAGGTAGTTAAACAGGTCTTATTCTGGCTCGAATACTTATCAAGTTCAGCAAAGCAAAAAAGGAGAAATGAATACAAGATTAATTGACTGATGGTTTATAAGATCATTAAGGCAGACAAAAATAGACAAACTTTTTTTTTTTTTTTAAGAAATATTTAAGCACCATAAAAGATCTCATCAACTTAACCATAACATCCCGACACTCGTGTTTTTCCATGAAATCAGAATTGAATACATAGTCCGTCACTGTTATTAGTGAAATGTCACAAGATAAAATCATCAGAATATTTTATAAAGTTGGAGTGAAATGCCACTCCAACTGCATGTATTTATGGCTCAAGTCAAATAAATGTTTTATGTTATCTGCCTTTTTTCCAGACTACCGAAACAACCACCTCTATGGTTTGCCAACAGTAAAGCTATCTCCACAGGATTGTTTCAACAAGAAAAAATAATTCA